TTTTTTTTTTTTTTTTTGGTTTTTCGAGACAGGGTTTCTCTGTGTAGTTCTGGCTGTCCTGGAACTCACTCTGTAGACCAGGCTGGCCTCGAACTCAGAAATCCACCTGCCTCTGCCTCCCAAGTGCTGGGATTAAAGGCTGCGCCACCACTGCCCAGCGTGATCAGAGTTTTGCATTCTGTAAGTATCTTAGGCAGGACACAGCCTCACTTCTGTTCTCCTAAAATCAGAGAATATAGTATAGTATATATAGGTAGAGTCCCCGGGGTTCACTTATGGCATGAGCTCTCATCATGACACACACACACACAATTTCATCACAATATTTACTTTTCCATCTTATACTTCAAGATTCTTTTTGCACATAAGTACAACCCTGATCAGAGGGTGTGACTTAGTGGTAGAACTCAAGCTTGGTGTGCACAATCCACCCTCCAAATAACCAGACACGGCTGCCTGTTTTGTTTTGTTTGAAACTGAGTCTCATGTAGCCTCAACTGGCTGAGCTCTGTAGTTAGAACAACCCTGAACTTCTGGTCCTTCTTCATCCACCTCCAAAGTTCTGGGATGGATCACAGACATGCAGCCCCATGCCTCGAAGTCTTCTGGCTTCAACATCCACTTCCCTTCGGCATCCTCAAGGAGATCCAATTCCCAATACCAAAAGCACAGTGATGTTTGCTGTTTGAAGCACCAATGTCTGACAGTGTGAGACAAGAAGAAGCTAGCTGACATCTTAGGACCTTAGGATCTTAGGATTATTAAGCCAGAAAATCAGAATAAAGTTTTATTTTATACTCCCATCTTGTGGTAACATATAGACATGGCAGCCTACGCGCAACAACTTGTCTTCTGGGTCATTGTCCCTCTACTGGATTGCTCTTCAGAGAAGCCAGAGCACCTGGTACAGGAAGTGCTAAAGACACACAGGAAGATGTTGGGACCCTTCCCCTGCAACAGAACTCCTAAAGGAGGCACCGGCTACACCATCGTGTGTTCCTAATAGTTTTTATGGAGGCTGGAGGTATAGTTTAGTGGTAGGGCAAGGCTCAGTGGTAGAGCGCTTGCCTAGCATGGCTAAGGCCCAACCCCCAATTAAAAAAAAGAATCAAACTCTATCACATAACCCAAAGTTTATACTCACTATTTTATTTTAGGCTTCACACATACTGGGCAAGATCTATCCCACCAAGCCACGCCCCCAATCTTCATACTCTTTATGTCCTGTCCAATCCGCTCCAAGGTAAACCCACAGAATTAATGACTGCTGATTAACAAGAACTCTATTATTATTTCTTTTATTATTACTATTAATATTAGCTGTGTAGAGTTGTGAATGTCTATATGTGGGTCTGTGTACGTAAGTTTAGGTACCCAAGGAGGCCAGAGGTACCGGATCCCCTGAAGCTGAAGTTACAGATGCCTGTGAGTGGCCATGAGGGTGCTAGGAATTGAACCCAGGTCCTCTAGAAAAGCAGCAGCAAGCGCTCTTAACCACCGAGCCACCTCTCCAACCCCAAGAACTCTGGGTGATTTTTTATATGTATTTTTAAGAGTTTATTATTATTTACCCGTCGGAGTGTTTTGCCTGCATGTATGTCTACACGTCACGCGCACATCTGCCTAGTGCCTGATGAGTCCAGAAGAGGGCGCTGGATCACTTACATCTATAGTTACAGATGACTATGGGCCACCACGGGCTGCTGGGAACTGGACCTGAGTATTCTACAAGAGCAGCCAATGGTCTTACCTGCCGAGCTATCTCTCCAGCTCCTAGCAGGAATTCTTAGGAGAAAGGTTTGCCACAGTTCAGTTGATTGTAATTTCTTCATATTGTTCTGCATGAGCCTACCGGGTGCCTCCCGCTTGCTGGGCACTGTATGTTAGGACAAGTCCAGTGGGTTAGGAGCTCAGAGTCATTGCTGACTGAATTAAAATCAAGATGAGTATGGCCCTCTGGGAAATGTGGTATGCGTCAGTGAGAAGGGTGGGATACTGAGTCAGCCACTTAGGAGCGAATGACCCCAGGAAACCACATTAACTGTCTTTGATCTGGAAGATAAGGACAATAATGAAGCCCCGACTCCTGGAGTGGCAGTTCAAATGAATGTGATATGTGAGTGCCATTGTCTGGTTCAGTCCTCCATAGCCAACGCTCCAGAGCTGAAGACCGTGTGCTAGAAGTCAGCTGGGGCACACAGGAAGCAGAATTCCCGTGTCAGTATCTCCTCCCTCAGTTTACTTTCTCCCTTCAAATCAAGTAACATGGACACACACACACACACACACACACACACACACACACACACACTCTGTTTTCGAGACAGGCAGCAAACACTCCTGTCAGTTTCTGGTATGATGGATTACAAGTGTGAGTCACCAGATCTCAGTCCTGGGTCTGGCTGGTTTCTTGCCATTGTCAAGTTA